CTGAATGTACTGAAGCGTCTTGCTCGTAGCGTATGGGGCCGTGCACGCTCAAATCTTAACACCACTTACAAGATGTTTATTCAGCCAATAATGTTGCAATGCTGTGAGCCAGTAATTACATCCACAGAGGCGACTCCCAAACCACTCGAGAATGCACACAACCAAGCATTACGACTAATAACTGGAGGGATAAAAACACTATTGATGCAATGCTCCGTTACGGGACACTCCACAATATGTTCCCTTATCAAAGAAAAGGCCTTGATCCTATACAATATGTTCCCTTATCCAGAAAAGGCCTTGATCCTGTATGAGAAGCTACTGCGCATTGAAGAGAAGGCCTTGATCCTATACAATATGTTCCCACAATGCTCCTAGTTACAGGGAGCACCACAATATGTTCCCTCAGAAAAGGCCTTGATCCTGTATGAGAAGCTACTGCGCATTGGAAGGCCTTGATCTTGTATGAGAAGCTACCTCATCAAAGAAAAGGCCTTGATCCTGTATGAGAAGCTACTACGCATTCCCACGGTTGTATGAGAAGCTACCTCATCAAAGAAAAGGCCTTGATCCTGTATGAGAAGCTACTACGCATTCCCGGTTACATGACACTCCACAATATGTTCCCTTATCAAAGAAAAGGCCTTGATCCTATACAATATGTTCCCTTATCCAGAAAAGGCCTTGATCCTGTATGAGAAGCTACTGCGCATTGAAGAGAAGGCCTTGATCCTATACAATATGTTCCCACAATGCTCCTAGTTACAGGGAGCACCACAATATGTTCCCTCAGAAAAGGCCTTGATCCTGTATGAGAAGCTACTGCGCATTGGAAGGCCTTGATCTTGTATGAGAAGCTACCTCATCAAAGAAAAGGCCTTGATCCTGTATGAGAAGCTACTACGCATTCCCACGGGGCATTGATCATGTATGAGAAGCTAATTCGCAATCCCGTGGATAAGTTTTTCAGCACCTATGAAAATAGACCAAGACATTTGAAAATGCAATCTGGTTTAATACAGAAAGCCATAGGCCTGAAGAAAGAATTACAAATCGATGACATGTGAAAACGACTCACTCTGCATATGAACACATTAGCAGACACTGATGTAGTGTTTTGCACCCAACTGCTCGACTTCTTCAGGAAATCAGATACCCCTCCAGAGCAAATGCGCTCCCCTCAGCGCACCCAACTGCTCGACTTCTTCAGGATGTAGTGTTTTGCACCCAACTGCTCGACTTCTTCAGGAAATCAGATACCCCTCCAGAACCCCTTAAGACAATCAATGGCAATTATCCTGGAGATCAATTGCTATAAGTCTTCACTGCTAGCTCATACATAGAAACCAAGCAAACGTTGGTGCAGGTGACGATTCTGAAATCTTCTATTTCTACGTAGCTCTTGGACACAAAAGATCCGATATTGAAGGTGAAATAGATGGCATTAGGAGATCACTGTCCCAATTATGTTGCCTGGTTTCAAAATTCACCAAAGCGGTGATAGCTTCTGTCTCATAGTCAACAATTAACTCAATTGGAAGCAAAGAGCCACCCAAAAGAGCTGAGATAAAGGAATGTAGAAAACTCTATCAGCTGCTGAGAGAGAAAAACAAAACAGTAGTCTTAAAATGGATTCCTGGTCACTATAGCATTAAAGGCATTGAGTTTGCAGACGCACTTGTTAAGAAGGGGGCAACGATTTTGCAATGCATGAAGACCTTAAACAGAAGAGAATTCCAGATCTCAAGGTGTAACGAACTTGAAGTTCGAACAAAAGAGAACCAGTGGGCAGTGGCACTCTCTGACATACCCGACTGGCCAAGAATCGAAAAGCCGTGTGAGTTTAGACTTTGGCCAAGAATCGAAGCCGTTGCTGAGTTTAGACTACGTACGGACGGATTGCCTGGCAAAACACCTTCAAAGATTGGGAGTATACACTCAACCATCAAAACACCTTCACAGATTGAGAGTATACACTCAACCCACATATACTCTATGTAACCTACAGGAGGAAATGGAGAAGTCCCACCTGTCTATGTGACCTACAGGAGGAAACGGAGAAGACCCACCATATGTAACCTACATGAGGAAATGGAGAAGACCCATCTGATCTGTAACCTACAGGAGGAAATGGAGAAGACCCACCTGATGTGAAACCTACAGGAGGAAATGGAGAAGACCCATCTGATTCTCTACAGGAGAAAATGGAGAAGACCCACCTGATTCGGTGTTCAAAGGAGGAAATGGAGAAGACCCACCTGATTCGGTGTCTAGCGATCAACCCACATGCCCTCTATGTAACCTACAGGAGGAAATCTGGCGAAGCACCTTCACAGATTAGGAGTATACAATCAAAACACCTTCACAGATTGAGAGTATACACTCAACCCACATACTCTATGTAACCTACAGGAGGAAATGGAGAAGTCCCACCTGTCTATGTGACCTACAGGAGGAAACGGAGAAGACCCACCATATGTAACCTACATGAGGAAATGGAGAAGACCCATCTGATCTGTAACCTACAGGAGGAAATGGAGAAGACCCACCTGATGTGAAACCTACAGGAGGAAATGGAGAAGACCCATCTGATTCTTAATCTAAGAGAGTATACACTCAACCCACATGCCCTCTGTGTAACCTACCGAAGCATCCACTCAACCCACATGCCCGCTATGTAACCTACAGGAGGAAATGGAAAAGACAAACCCGCTTCGGTGTCCAACCCTGAAGACAACGGCGGAAAGCCAGAGATACTGGGAAGCAAGAAGACAGCTAATGAACGGCTATTAATTAACTGCTATAACTGTACCTCATACCCCTGGAGGAAGCTGAAGTCAAAGTTTAATTGCTAATGATAAATATCATAAAGCCTACTAACTGAAATTAATAAATTAATATTATAATAAAAAGGATAAACTTGAAATATCGATTTATATATAAGTAGTAACTGGGCAATATGTTAAAATAGAAAACGTTTTTGCATTGAAATTAGTAAATTCTAATAAATCGATAACCAAACAATTTTATAGTCCATATTTATGAATGTTTTTTTTATTTATAAATAAAATACTCATAAAACTAATGTAATGAAAAACTTAAATTAAATTTTAACATGTTTCATGAACAGTCTTCTAAAGGTTACTTATTTTATCAAAACGTATCTTCTAATATGTTTAGATTGATCATGTGTTAATGAACAAAAAGCAAATATTTTTTATATTTTAATATAACTGAGTACTTAAAACATCTTTTTAATCAATAATACACATTTAGTTAAATGTCGTTTTATCAGTAAAACTATATAGAAATATCTTTATTTATTTGTAGAAAGTACTTGTCTTCGTTGTTTCCAAAATAACACATTGAATATAGTCAATACGTTCAATTCTGACACGTCGAGAGAAATGTCCTATTTAACTACCACTAAAAGTACTAAAATCTTCTTTAAGACTTTTGGAAGTGTGCATTCTGATGCTGTAGCATTAACACAATGAGTTAAACATGTGGCCAATTTAACAATGCAATCAAACAAATGGTAGACGAGTAACATTTCTGATCGCTGAATTGTTCATTCACTGTCGGCAGCATCTGAAATAACATCTTAAATAATATCATTAAACAAATCATAAAACGAGTAGCTTACATGAATAATACAATGCGTCCAACCAATTGTTATTTAATTGTGACAATAAATTACTACAAGAGGCCTTCGATGGAATTCATTAGAACTAAAAATGTTCTCTGACAATTGTTTTGGTTTTACGAGCTATTGATTCTTATGTATGATGCGATGAATATGTTGAGGGACCTTTAATTTATGTTTGCAAGTTGGAACATATGAATCAAAGGCTTGAAGAGCTTTCATATAACGCCCTATTGGATGCATTTTACAATGGATCAGATGCGTGATTAGATGGAACAATTCGTCTTTAAAAATGCAAACAAATCTGGTAAACCTAAGTTAATTTTCAATCACACGCATACCCCAATCGCACCTAAATACATTTTTGTGCTTCGTGGAGCCGTTTTACTTGAGATTATCTTCAAAATGGCCTTGGTACTATAATTTAAGTTTACATTAAGTGTGAAACAGTAGCCAATACTGCGTTTGTCAAATTGTCAAAATTTAAAAAAAAATCGTGATAAATTAAATTTTAAAGGTTTCAAAATTAGTAAATATTAGAACTAATATGTAAACAATATATAATTAGGAGCGCTTTTCTCCATATAACTTTTAAATATCTAAAAAATATAATATACTCCTATAAAATATTTCAAGCCTTAATATTTTGGAATAATTATTTAGGTGAAATATTTTTGTAAAGAGTTCAAAAAGCAGTGAGCGGCTTAAAAAGGAAATGACTTTTAGGTCTCACAAAGTCCACACTTTCGCTATTTTTTTCAGAAAATGTTTAGATCATGGTTGATATCTTTCAGAATTTAGGTACGTAGATTTATTGGACTAATTTACATTCATTGTATAGTTCAATAATGAAAAAAATGGGTAAAATTGAATGAGTAAAAAATTATCAATTTGAAATCAATTTCATTGATAGATTGAAATATTGCATTAAAAAGCAAAGGTTTACCGTAGTATTTCAGGGAATGGAAGGGATATATTATGAATGTAGAATTTTGAATTAATAGCTAAATTATGAATGTCAAACAAGTATTCAAGATTTAGCGTTGAATAGCGTTGCATCCGAAACGATGAATTGAGTATGAATAAAATAATTGAATTAGTCACCTAAATTTAACGATGATTTACAGAGTTCAATTACTCGACCACATCATTGGCTGACGTTTTCCAATCTGAAGTATTTTAATAAAAGCATTTGGTTTCCACAATAAATTTGAACCAATTTTGGATCAATAGTAGTAATTCATACCCAGAATCGAGAGAAATTCATTTAATGTCGAATGTGGGACAATTTAGCAGTCGTCCATGAATACCAAATATCTGATATATTTCAGAGACAGTTTATCACCTTTTTTGTAATTTATTGTTTAATCGTTTAGTTATCAGTATCATAAACAAATCATTAGGAGATAAGCTTACATAAATTAAATAATACGTCCAACAAATTATCAATCAATATTATAAATAAAGTTTTCCCAAGTACCTTTAAATGGCTATTAAGGAAATATAAAACGAAATTATTTTACTTCCATTTTTTGAAATTAAGGCCATAGATTTCTGAATATGGTTTATTGAATTTTGAAGGATCATTTCATATAAGTTTTAAACATTCCGCAAAGCATGTTTGGTTTTGATGTAGAAAATTAAACAGAAATAGAAATTGCTCAGCTCATAGTACAAAAGCAAACCGCTTAAAATCACGATATTGAATTGATATCACTGGGTTAACTATGAGGATGAAATACGAAGCAACACATCAATCGTCCCTCTCTACTTTTCAACAACGCACTTTTTCCTTTTTACTCAGAATGGTTAATTAATGTGAAATAATATGCATTTCTTATCTCATCATATTTTACAATGCCCAGTCTTCACTCGATTACATTTTTGGCCTATCTGTTTACCAATTCTGAGTTTTCTTATGTGATGCACTTATTTTTACCATCGTTAAAAATAAACCATACGAAAAATTTGAGGTTAGTTTTAAGTGAATCACAAGTGAATTAAGGCGATAAACTTTATTGCATCTACCGCAAGTAAAAAATGAATACTAAATTTTTCATGTTGCGCAGGATAGAACAAAAAGTATCAAAAGCAGAGATTCACCAAAAAAAGATTATGCTGTCAGTCTGGTGGGATCACTAAGGAATTTTGTATTTTGAACTCATTCCGCAGAACCAAACGATAAATTCAAATGTGTATGTTGAACAACTCGAAAAACTGAAGGATGCAATTGAAGATAAGCGGCCGGCATTATCAAATCGGAAGGGTGTTGTTTTCCATCATGATAACGCAAGGTCCCACACATCTTTGGTTACTCGACGAAAATTATTGGAACTGGGTTGGGATGTTTTGTTACACCCACCATATAGCCTTGACCTTGCGCCTTCGGATTACCATTTGTTCCGTTCCATGCAAAACTCTTTAAATGGTAAAATTGTTAACAACGCGGATGATGTCGGATCACACCTAATTCAGTTTTTTAATAGCAAAGACCAGACATTTTACGAACGGGGAATTTTTACTCTGCCAGAACGATGGTAAAAGGTCATCGACAAGAACGGCCAATATCTAATTGAATAAAGTTATATTTTTATACAAAAATTCCGAATTTGCCTTCTTATTTGAAATCGGCAATGACTTAGTTGCCAATCTAATATATGCTAACAAATGCAGGCAATTCTTGTGCACAATTTATCTTACCCAACTGCTAGATTGGTCGGCTTAATTAACGATGGGCGTTTGATTAATGGTTTCTCCCTGGGAATTAAATAAATACTTTAGTATACATATATATAATTAATTTATTATTTTTTTATTTCTAACAAATGGAAGGCTTCTTGATAAATATCATCAGCCTTTTAGCTGACTTCGGACTTTACAAGAGAGGAAAGCCAAAGTCAAAGAAAGTGGAGAGGGTTTGGGACAGAAGAGTGATTTATTGATATTAAGGCGACTGACATTTTTATTTTTAATTTGGAGTGGGAAGTCAACTGCCGGTTAATAGATTTTTTTGTCGTATCAGTATACGTTGCCCAAGGTGCATCACGTGGAGGTAAGTCTATCACACACCTCTATCATAACGTCTGTCATTTGGAATAAATAAATATTTTTAATTTTTTTTAATTTTAAGGTGACTGATTATGACATTAATTTGTACCCCATGTATGGATGGTATAAAGGAAACATTGAGTGAGCACTTTGTTTATTGTTCGATTAGACTTAATGTTTAGAGACCTTTTGTAATATATCTTTAGTCAAGAATAAATCACAGAGACACCAAAATGAGAAAATACAATGAAGTTATTAATAAATCATCAATGAATGCCCACTTCAAGAGTCGAAGTTGATCCAATTATTCTTGATTAATCTGCACGGTAAATGGATTTTTCATTTGGCCAATGCCCTCAATCACGAGCTATCGACATCGATTTCAGAGAGCTCATAGAATTATTGCAAGAAATAAAAATTCACAAATTGCAGGTCCCAACTAATGCATAATATTCAGTTTAAGTATTTTGGAGGTCATTCATTTGTAATGTTCCCCTTGAATCAATATAATACTTAGAAAAATGTATTTTATTAAATTAAGTAATGTGAATCAAATGAAAGATTCGATGTATATTATATATTTGGTTATGAATAGGCAAAGTTTTCTTCATGAATGTAAATGGTATTTAAAGGTCAAGAAACAATGGTGATTGTAAATGAGAAAGGGCAAATTTTGGTGTATTTTGAAAGACACTTCAGGATAATATATTTTTGGTCATGTTACCACTCCGTAGGCCTTCAACTGGACTTCGGCATCTTTGTAAAGGCTTTGATTTCATAACGAACCCGTTCATAATGTAAAGTTTCTGAGGTACTTGAACTTATTAGCACTTAATTTTGCTTAATGGAATGTCATTTCATTAA